ATAGTCTCAAAACCCTCGTATGTCATGTGTGGTATGACTAATCAATTTGAAGGAGAATTGTTAACAGTAACATGCATCTCTAAACAAAGAAAAGATGTAACACTCCTTATCAAGCTAATGCATCAATAGATCCTCAATGATTAGAAAATTCAATGCCTATGATGCCTTGTATGAAATTTGTGGGTATGTTTTAAATTATTTGTGCTGTTAATTGTATTAAAAAAAATGGTAAAAATTAAAATCATTATCTGGACTCAAACATACAGAGATACATGTATCACAGACAAAGTTTAGACCATTGTGGACCTTTTTTCTGAATCTACATAATACTGATATAAAATTTATTACTGATGGTCTATGAATTTGTCATTGGACACTCATAGAAAGAAAATATGAAACTAGAGACACTAGTGAAGTTCATAATGGGCTTCAACAAGAAAAGGGGAGTAAATTATGTATGAATGGGGATTGGAGACCACAAGGAAACAATTGTGTTTCATGTTTTATTTCACTAAATTCACTCTAACTGGGGCTGGAATCCCCCAGGATGATGTAGTATCAAATAACAAAATGGGTGCTGCAGATGAAAACGAAAGATAATAAAAATTATGAAAACTTATTCCAATGAGAAAAAAAAAACTATATGTAAATCAAATATTCAGATCACTGAGTATGTGCCATGAGTGTAGATTTACTGGGGATACTTGTATTTGAGTGAAGTTATAGAACTGAGAGGGGCTCATATAAATAACAGAGAAATGTGAAGAAATCTTAGGGAAGTAAAAAAAAAAATCAATGGACAATGTCTGGAATTTGGGAAATATTTGCGCAACTCTTAGGGTCTTGATTGTAAGCAATGTCAATATTTAAAGACCAACATACAAGTCATCGATAAATATTCATGCACAACCAGTCACAAAGACTCCCGATATTGCATTGCTGGTATTTTTCTATCTTGCTATCAAAAAGGACCCCTTGATAAAAATCTTCATATTATTCCCTTCAGACATGATTCATAGGTTTATATGGCTGGGGACAAGTCTAACAGTGGCTTGGATATATGTCTGGAGATGGAACTAATGTCTAGATCTGACCTGTCAGTCCTATCAAAAAGCTCAGCTCCCCAGCTTTAAAGAGTGTACAAAACGGTCGGCAAGAAATAAATCTTCTATTTAATGCACTAAGATACTTCAATAATCTGCTGTGGTATTGTTACCCCATAATAAATGAAGTGTACAACCTTTTAAAGAGGTTATCTACCCTAGATTTAAAGGCATGTCACATAATCACTCTCAAATATGATAAATGTGCAGAATATGTATATGTAAATGATTAAGTATTGAACGTATTCATAAACCTCAAGATTATTTGATCACTCAAAGTGCACACCCAAAGATATCAGTTACTCCTAAATTCCTTCAACTCTTTCAAAATGTTACCCATTGTAAAATGTAAATTCCTGTCTGAAAAAACTATGTACGCTTTTTGAAGGACTTTGAAGAAATAAAAAATATTGTGTGAATCAAGTTTATATACACACACACAGAACTTCTGTTAGAAGTCCAAATGTTACATGTACTGAGTATCAATCTAACAGTCTTTAAGTACCATTGTGCTCTAGCCTCTGTGTCTCATATGCCAAACTGTGACTGTATTTCTGACTTAGACCTTAAGTCAATCATGTTATATTGTAACTTCTTATTCACAGGGAGGAAGGGAAAACTGTACAGTTCTAATGATGAAGGAAAACTTCATACTCTGTCTGATGGAAATATTAAAACTGAAATTGGTGAGGAACTCCTTCCTCAGAATGGTGGAGGAACTTGATCCTCTGTATAGAGGAGGAATTCAGCCCACACTTTAGACACTAAATCTAGTGAGGAAAACTCTCCTCTACATGGTGGAGGAACTCCTTCCTCAGAATGGTGGAGGAACATGATCCTCTGTATAGAGGAGGAATTCAGCCCACACTTTAGACACTAAATCTAGTGAGGAAAACTCTCCTCTACATGGTGGAGGAACTCCTTCCTCAGAATGGTGGAGGAACATGATCCTCTGTATAGAGGAGGAATTCAGCCCACACTTTAGACACTAAATCTAGAGAGGAAAACTCTCCTCTACATGGTGGAGGAACTCCTTCCTCAGAATGGTGGAGGAACTTGATCCTCTGTATAGAGGAGGAATTCAGGCCACACTTTAGACCCTAAATCTAGAGAGGAAAACTCCTCTGAATGATGATCTGCATGGTGGAGGAACTTCATCCTATGCATGCTGAAGGAAAGCCTCAAATGTTGAATTTGGTGGATGAAAACATGATACTTGATATCAGTGGCAGATTTTAGGGGGAGGGGGATGTGTGCACCCTATGCATCCCCCCCCCCCCCCAAGCTGTCAAATTTTAGATAAATCATGGTTCCATCTTTGAAAAGAAATGAATAATCAGATAAAGGGATATATTATATAAAAGGCTTTATCTCTATATTATTGCAAGGCAAGAGCTTCTGGAGGCTGAATTCCTAGGCTTTGTTTCCCCAGACCTTAAAAATATTCTTTAGTTTTACTAATTCTAATCATTAATCACCACGAAAAGAAATATTTTAAAATGTCTACTTAGAAGACTTTATTTTTGCCCTACTAATCTCAAGAATCCAAGAGCTGGGGACTTAGTCCCCAGGGCCCCTACCAGGGCTTTACTGTGGATTCACAGGGGGGCCTCAAAGCAGGCCTAAGATCCCTTGCCTAATCAGCTAGTGCCCCCCCCCCCCCCTTCATATTCTGGATCTGCCCCTGAATATTGTGGAGAAACTTAATTCTCTGAATGGTAGAGGAATTATAAATATTAGTTTGTGGAGGATATTTCTAACTCTTGAGTGGTAGAAGAAAGTTGCAAGGGAAAACTTTGTGCAAGATGGAAATTTCATGCAAGGCTAGTCAGCAACATTTCCAACTACCCCCTACATCTCAAAAGACCTGAATTCCAAGCCCACTATTGACTTCTGTTGCTTTATTAGTTTGCTTTGTTCCTGTTAACAAACAGGGCCATATGCTTGAGGATTCTCCAAAGTCAGGAAATATGGTTTTTAATTAAACTCTGCATAAAAATTTCATGAAAGTACTCCTGTTTTCCTACTAAGTTATGTGGAAGAGACAAACATGCTTTTTGAAGAAGACAAACAGTATTCAGTATTATATTTGAAGTTGGCATAACACTATACAAGAAGGTTTATTGACAAAATGTTCCTTAGTGTCATCAAAATACTTAACACATTCTGGTGTTTTAATTTGTATTTTATTTTCTGGACAAGGTAATATGGTAGGCCTAAAGAATGAAAGGGATGCTGATGGCCAGTGGTTGATCAATGATTGATATGATGATATATATTTCACTTGATTACAGAAATATCAAACAATATCATCAACCAACTATCCATAAATATTTAATGGTAACATTATTCAAAAGGGAGATAAATCAGGAGTCATCAGAGGCACCGCTTTATTATGTTTGCTTATACTGCGTTAAAAGAAAAAAAAAAAAGAAGGATAAATGTTCTACTATTTTAAAGAAACATTTTGAACCAAAATATGTATCTGAGTTAAAATTAACATGACTTTTTTGCGATGAAAGATGTATTATAAGATATATCCCAGAAGTCAATCCTGCCACTATGAAATTTGAAATCCCAAAGGTGAAAATATTGAGCTAAAGTTGATTTATTCAAGTGTAACACACTGAATTGAAATCTATGGCAACTACATAAAAAGGTATCAATAATTCAAAGATATCTTAATGGGGAACTCCAGGATGATTTAAAGCAATTAAAACCTTGATCTAGGGGATGTATCAGAGATGCAAATACTGACAAAAGTTAATATCAAATTGTTTGCTTTGTGGGAAAAAAAATTGAAAGATGATACTAATTAAGATTTGCATCATTCATTGCATGAATTGTTCATATATTTCCAATCTAACAAAACCTATTGACCTTTTTCTTTTAATTTGATGCTTATTTTTTGCTAAAAATCTTCTATGAAATGACATTTTTTAGCATTTCATGTGGTGCTAAGCTTTAATAGAAGACCTGTACTGTTTTCTTTTCTTTCTTTTTTTTTTAACTCTTTAAAACTTTTTATGGTAAGCAAACAGCATACATCTACACGGAAGTACATGCATCTTTTACTTATGTGTGGAACTTTATTAATACATCAAATGTCTGTTACAGCAGTTTGGTCTGTACAAAAGCTATATCACATGACATATGATGGATAATTTCTAACAAAATACTGGTACCCCCATACCATCCCATAGCTTAACAAAGATATTTTAACAAACCTAGGATTCAGAGAGTACAATAGCGTTATCATAGAAAACAAGTCATACATTTTACCCAAAATGAAACACACTGACTGAAACAAGTCAACCAAAATAATAAAAAGTATAGGCTGTACTTTTGAAATCTACTCTAATACACAAACAAGCCGATCATCATTCATGAATCTCACACACAGATCTGGTAGGTAATTTTATACTGAGTATTTCTTATATCCCCCCCCCCCCACCCCAATTTGACATTGATTTGTTCTAGGTAAAGGTGCAATTTGCCTTAGAAGCATGAATGAATTTTTCACTTTTTATTGGGAAAACTGCAGAGTTTATACATTAAATTTATCTGCTAATCTGCTTTACTGTTTGTGTTAACAATTTTATTTTATAATCTAACATGAAAGATGCATGAACTACTTTCAACTTAAATAACAACAAACCAATTTTTTTTTTCTTGCAGCTAGAACTTGCCTAGAACTTCCAAATGGTGTTATCTGCATGCAGCAATTCTTAATAAATGAAAATAAAGCTGCAACAATTTGATTACTACAAATTCTATGAGCACAGAAATGCTCGTGACAAAATGATTATGCAATTTGCCCAGATTAGTCCATGCATCTTGGGTGTTAGGCGTGAATTTTAACATTTCCAAAAGTGGTAAAATAAAAAAGTGACTCACCATTGTTCTCTGCATAGATGGCCACAGTGCTCAAAAGCACCGCTGCAGCAAAGGTATTCAGAACGTCATTCATCATCACCACAGCATTAAAGCTGCATATACTAATTCTATTTTACCTGAAAATTAAAACAATACACAAAAATACAACATCAAGTTTTACCAACTTTCAATTTTTTTTTTTACCACCAACAGAAATTTTGACCACCACCAATTCTGTGTTAAAGTTGTTCAGTAAAATTTTGTCCACATTGTAGTTAATTAGATATCTGTTAGTATTAAGTGTTTCTCAAACAAAATAGCATCCACACAGTACTGATATGATGTAATCCTTATTAAATGCTGGCAAACACACGTACACAATGATAAAATCAAGTCCTCCAATAGGCAAAGTGATGAGTTAATTCTCTTGTTTAAATTTTCCTTCCATAAACTTTTAGATTTATCTAACACTGGTTTTTAAAGTCATCTTCCCCTCATAAAGGCAACACTTATTTTCCAGCTGGATAGGACAGGGCCCATTCAGAGAACAGACCAAGAGATAACACAGTGAATCACTGGTGAAATATTAGGGGGCAAATTAATTACACCTCTCCTTCTTCATGAAAAAGAACTTTCTTTATAGCCAAAAATTCCTAGTCTCCAAAAAGGAGAAATTTAAGTTTGACAGCAATGCTTTTAAGAAAAGGCAATTAAGTTACAGTCAGTAAATTTCATGAATGAATGAAGTCATACAGTGTACAATGGGACACTACAATACACAATCAGTGCCCACAGCCACGGGTCAGTGAAGACACCTGGTCTTCTCTCATTCACAAAAACCACTTTTTCAACTATTACCTATGTTAAATAATAATAGTAAATTCCTCTGAATTATGTCACAAATTTCCCATAATAAATATCCTCTCTAGAGGTCCAGTGCAGCTAAAACATCCATCCAAAGGAAAAGCTAGTCCTTCCCATACAGTCCCAGGTACACATACCAATAACATTGCTTTTAAATGAATCAGCCAATCAGAGACCTTGTTGCATTTCCTATGGTGCAAGTCTTGATGTGTCTTTTGTCACAGTACAAAGGGAGATAAAGCCTATAGGCATTTGTTCATGGATCATCACACATATATTGTTATCTTATACACTAAAGTTAAAAATATTTAGCCCATGCCACCTTGTCATATTACATCAAAAGAACTGTGCAGTTGTGAATTTTTAAAAACTACTGTGTGTTTTGCAATATTATTTGGCTACAACAATAACCTCAGGGTGGTGGTCCTCAGTATGTTCATTAGAATGATGTAATATAATGACAAAATACATTATACTGGAAAATGTAATTACTATTAACAGTGAAATTAACTTCCTTTATTCATTCCTGCCTTTATTTCCCATAAAGTTCTTTAATGGATTTGATAATGTAAATCTAATCTAAATTTCAGCACTTTTGTTTTTAGTAAATGATAATTATACTTATGATTTTATTATTCATTGCAACTTTCGTTTAATGATGCATTGTTTGAAACATGAAAAGATGCAAGAAAATTTACATGAAACTTAACTTCAATACAATTTTCACTTCAAGTAGTTCAATATGTTTAGGAGCTCAACTAAAAAAATAAATACTTTTTTGTATATAATTTTTAAGTTTAAAATACATACTGTCTGTGTTCCTATATTATTCAAAAATAAGTACGAAAACAATCAGGTCATAGAGTATGATGGTTTAGTAAATTGACAGTTAAAAAAAATCCATATTTTGACAGTGCATTTATGAATTATAGGCTAGCACTCAAAAGATTATGCCAAAATATTAAATTACTAATTTTTCCATCATCATTTAATTAATCTCAGAAACATGAAGTCATATATTTCTTTCTTAACTCCCCTAATAGAAAAAAAATATAGCGTCAAGTGCCTGTGATAGACTGTTTGTTACAACTCAATGAAATACACAGAGTTGAACAAAGAGAGACAACTGCTGTTTATTCGTTACTTACCAATTCATGAACCATTTAAATATAGCACCACATTGACAGATGGTTCCTTTGTGTCTACATTTTCTCAATCAGTCTGCAAGTAACAATATCAACATTTATAATGTCAATAAAAAGATACAATAACATTATGACTGTTCTAATTATTTGACACTTTTATTAATGAGTAATGTAATAAAACTCTTTCTCACAGCTTGATTGCACTAATTAATAGTAATTGGTAGCAACTCCAAAAGAATCATTTCATATTTTAAATTCTCCACTGAAAGCTTTTTGAAAGGGACTAAATAACCCCTCTATTGCAATCTAGAGGAGAATTAAACCAATACAGTATAATAGACGGACAGAGTTATGAGCTTTTGAATTAATGAGGTTAATAGGGAAAACTTTCTTTACTTGAAACTGATCTTATTCATGGCATTTAGAAAAGAGTTATTTATATACAAAACACATATGTATTTAAGAGATTGTAATTAAATAGGTTAATTTTGTATAAGTATACATTATTTTCTCTCTAAGATTTGAGTAAATAATCTCAGTTCACATGAATATGCTGGAAAAGCATTTTGTCAGATACACTACAGGGCACACACTTATTTAAGGAATCACTGTCTTTTAGTAGAGTATGCCAGGGCATCAACGATAGTTGGAAATCATTAATGTGGGATAATTTGCATAACGGGCAAAGCCTGTTATGCATAAATTATTCCATGTTTCCAACTATCGTTGATGTCCCTGGCATACTCTACTAACTAGACAGTGATTCCTTATATTTCCATTTTAAAAATGTGGACTAATAGATTAAATTACAAGAGGCCTCACATGTCAATTTCAATAGTCCCCACCCACTACGTCAAACACAAAGACAGCCGCACGGGAATTACATGCATATTAGGCCTCCTTAGCGTCAGACACAAAGACAGCTGCATGAGAATTACATGCATATTAGCTTAAGGCCTTCTTAGCTCCTGACCTTTCGCTTGGCGAAATTTACATTCCAGTAGAATGATCAAGAAATCAACTCAACTAACTTTTAAAGAGTTATCACAGAGAAAACAAATAGAAATGGAAATATTCTAAAATTATTCACTCTTTGGTCAAAACGACACAGATGTATTATACACATAGATTTCCATAATTTTTTTATGGACAATTATTGGTATGTTTATATAGTAAATAGCAGATCGAGCCATAAATAAAAGACCCTTGTTTTTAAATTTACATATTCTGATACATGTACTAGCATTTCATTCCTAGATGACCATTAAATTTTCTTCAATTTCTGTTATTTTTGTAGTTTGATGATTTCTTCTGCGTGGGAATCTTATAACAAAGAAGAGACCCAAGGGCCTTAATGGTCACCTGAGTAAATTACAACACTGTTAAGGATCCAGATATGTTGCCCAAAGGCAAGAGAAATAGGACAATCAGGGATCAACAAAATTGGTAGTCTAGTACTAACAAATCGTAAAGTAGATCTATTTACTTGCCTGTACTTGCCAGTGCTAAAACTCTCTCAATTGTCACTATCACCATGCATAATACACAACAGAGCTTGAGCACACATAGTAAACCAATCACAATCCTTTTCAAGAACATTTATTGTACAAAGTTAGGTATTTTTGTCTCATTTTATTTATCTCTTATTTACATGTCTACCTGACCAAAAAAATGTATTTTAACTATATAATCAATAGAGCCCTAACCTAACACCAGAACCTCTGACCCTGAGGACAAGAAATTAATATATTTGGAAAAGGTATTCACCATGACAATGCAATAGTATATTTACAGCCGCACCCTAACACCAGCACACCTGATCCAATCACAAATTCACAAATTTGGAAGAGGCAATCTTGCTTATTATAACCATTAATTTACTTTGTTTGCTAAAAACCCAGGTGCAGAGAAGAAGACTTTAAAAGAACTATATAACCAATAGAGCCCAACCTTAACACCAAAACCTCTGACCCAGGGGTCATAATTTCACAATCTTGGAAATGGCAAATAAAGGATCTTTATAAGCATGCACTTAGTTTGTCTGCTCAATAGCCTGGGACAGAGAAGCTTTTTAAAGGATTTACGCATTTTCACTCTATGATCAATAAAGCCCCACCCTAAGTCCACAACCACTGCCTGGGAGCCAGAATTTAACAATTTTAGTAGTGGGCTCAAAGTTTATTACAGTCATGCCATCAGCTTGATGTCCAGGAGTAAAGAAAAAGATTTTTAAAAGTTGCATTAATTTTGATGGCTTTGCCCCTTACCCTTTAGGCCCTAGGGGGACAGGGTCCATGAAATTCACAATTTTTTCTCTCTTTGCCCATAAATGCTATATATTAAACTTGATTGAAATTGTTTCAGGGGTTCCAGAGAAGAAACGAAGAATATTCAGAACTTTATGACTGACAATGAACTATACATGACAGTGGATGAAAACAGATAGCAATAGGTCACCTGAGTGACTAAGGTGACCTAAAAATATTTATTTTAATTTCAACATTGATTTTATTTTTAGGAGTGAATGAAGGGGTTATTTCCCTTTCTCCACATCCACAACAAAGAAATTCATGCATGAATCTCTAATAAAATGAATCAATATTTCTTATTTTAAGTAGGGTGCAGTCATTTCTTGTTTTAAAGGAGAAATTATTAGCTAGATTATAACTGCATAGTTTTATAGTTTTCTTAATGTTCTCATTAAATCTCATGTAATTCAAAGTATGTACACTCTAGCATTCCATCCTCATTGGTTGAAGATATGCTCTAAAAAGCATTATTAATATTTATTTATTTGTAGGCCTACATTTTTGCAAAATCAATAATTCGAATCTGAGAGAAGAACCAATCAGAACTGAAGATTAATATGCTTCACCAATGACTGGTTGAAATTTCTTGGTTTCAATCAATTTATCCATGAAAGGAAATTAATTTAAAAAAAAAAATGGTAGAAATTCCTTCACACAACAGATGTTTCTGAATACCCCCTGCCTGTAATAACATAATTCAGAAATGACAAATTTTTGATCAGCTGGGCACCAAATTTTTCAGTATCTCACATTAATCTCAGACATTCTGTGCTGTGATCAGCTGATAATGACTTTAACATAAATATGCCACACAGAATGGAACACAGACCGGAGTGTTAGCTCAGTGACAGACAGAATGCATCAAACAGATTTCTTGCTGACCTTTATTTTTAAATGTACACTTTTTATAAACAGGAATATCCTGTCAAGCACTCTCTGTGCTGAGGATTCTGAATAGATCTCTTTGGAGATTTCCCAAAAGAACTTCACACAATATGATTCAAATTCTTTCGTTCAAGCTATACAATTCAAACTATGTCAAATTGATACCAAAGACATTTTCCACCATCATTTTTAACAGAAACGTCATTTTTAATGATTTAGAGAGGCCCTAATTTTGTACAGTGTACCTAAAATTGTGCTTAATAGTTTTTAAACTATTCCACATACTATTCCATTAGGCCACTAGCATGATAACGTGGCAGCGTCTAACAACTAAAATGCCACACATAATGGGAGTCTTCTGAGAGCCTTTGAGGCATAAAGACACAAGAAGATTTTATGACATATGTATATTGATACTAGTGAATCTCTAGAGTTGGTGTGTTTTAACCCTTGCCCATGTTGCGGCATTGATCAAAGTCTTGACATAACAGTATTCGGCAGCATTAACAAACAAAGATAACATGTCTGCTTGTATCATGTCATTGTGTGTGAATAGTTCTATTGAATTCTCCTGATATTGACAGCAACAAGAGATTTGGTTTCCATAGAAATAAAAGAAATCTATTAGCAAGCAGATGAGACAAAAAATAGTTGGAAGCCAGTCTGTAACAAAAGCTGTAATGGCAGCATGCTACCCTTTTATGCCTCGATCACAAATCAAACTGTGCATGTGACATGAGCAAACATTTTAACTTTAGACTTTTAAAGCTTCACATTAATAATACACTGAATTTGAAACATTTTTTTTATTATGTATAATCTATATGAACTTATTTTCTTATTTATATTATAGGCTTAAAGCTGAATAAAAAATATATAATGTGAGTAGATTTTTTTTAAATATCTACAAAGCAGCACTTTAAAAGTTATTTTTCCATTTAAACTATCTGCAAGCAATATGAAGACTTTTTTAATGTGAGAAAAGTTTTCAAGATTGAGAACATCTCACAAACTTAATTTTTCCAGCATCTGGTTAAACTATGTATATAATGTACAAGCTAGTATATAAATTTCCCTTTTTTTCATGCATACAATTAAATTCCATTTATAAAAGCTCTACTATTCAATGCATTATGAATATTCTGATACATACACCATGTACATGCATATATGTCAAGCTAATTATATTTGATTAATTACCCTCCCCCAAACTCTGGCAGATGGAGATATGGTTCTTGTTAGACAGATGGTCAAGGTCCTCAGTTTTCACAAGCCCCACAATGACCCTTAAGGCTTGAGATGAAACATTAATTATGCACTCTCAGATGCATTAGAAATGAACTGAAGACTTACTCAATAACATTAACTTTCTCATATGTATTATTCTGGTCATGGGTCACAGTTCATGTAAAAATAATAATCTGCATAGCATAGGTAATTAAACAGCAATCTTAAAAGGTTAATTATGAAATATTCTGTATAAACTATGTACTTGCATTCTGTGTTTGTCAGAAACTTCACTTCTAAGGGGGGGGGGGGGGGATATTGTTATTACCGCATCAGCACATAACATAGTAATCAGTGAACAATTATTAGCCTTAGAGAAGAACAAAATGTCTATAACAATAAAGTCATAACCCCACCCCATCCCCCCAAAACACACACAAACAAAACTTCCGAAATCTTTTCTAAAAAATATTATTTCAATGCAAATATACACAGTCTATAGTGAGTACAACTAAACTCTAGTAAGATAACACTTAGATATGACACCAAACAATTTAAATTTTTTTAATAAATATTTTTTTATAAATTTCACTAGGGCAAGCAAATGTCCCTTTCTGAATCATGTCTGAAATAGTTTCATTCTGTCCTAAAAGTTTCAAATTACTTTTTAGTGCAGCAATACCCATTAAATCTGAACACCAGTAACTATTCTATAAATGGAACATATATACATTCCATTTCTGGATAAACAGCAAATATTATAAGGCTGATTGTGAATGATTGATGTGCCCATTAATTACCATCTCTGTTTGCTAATCCCTCCAGAGAAGAACAAGGCATACAAAACACTTACGGAACAAATAACAACCTAAAGACACTTTTCCTGATCCGGACAATATCCACGGAATTACTGGAACAATCCAAAGGATCTTCCAGAGAGGCATTAGCTATTTATTATGCAGGAATGATGGCATTTGCACAGTTTTTTCCTCTTCAGTGTATCGATTAGGCCTGGGTTAATAATCCCTTTGTCAGACTCACACACACAGACTTGGTAAGACAACAATCTTCTAAATCATGGATGAATTCAATCCTTAACACCTCATTTCCATGACCAGAAACAAACTAGATTAATGTGTTTGACATCAGATGCAAGTTTTTTTTTTGTTCGCATGTTCATGTATTGATACTTTGTAATGTGCCTTTTGTCTGGGAATAGGAGGCATGACTCAGAAGTTCCCCATTAAATAAATTACAAGAATTTTTTCCCAAACAAATTTTAATTTCTTTTGAATATTACACTCTATTATGTGTATTCTATGAAGTACAAACTCTGCAACTCATTAATAAAATATCCACTCACTGAAAAAAAAAAGATCTTGGATTTATGGTGACACTTTCTTGTCACAAATTTCAGGTATTATTTCTTGCATTATATACATCCTTCAGCCTAAAGCATGGTATCTGTTAATTAAATGTATACTTTACTTCTACTCTTGTTCATTTGTGTACTTTTCAACAGTTACAAAAAAGCTAAATATGTGAAACATGGTTATATATAGAATTATGCCCCTTTATCATATACCATGGAGTAGAAACTTTCACATCCCAAGTCCACAGATATAAAGAGTAAAATTACAAAATATTTAAAACTAAAGGATACCATGCTTTAGGTTGGGGAGTACATCTAATGAGAGAAATGCTTGTGACAAAAAATGTTGCTGTATTAAACATATAATAATAAAAGAGGATTTTTAAAAAAAGATTTTTTTTCAGTGGATGGATCTATAGCTCTCTGGTATGTCTTTCTGTATTTTATTTCCCAGAAAACAGTTCCACAGCTATCAAAGTATACTTGGTATCACAATAACTTAAACCAAAATTAAAATAAAACAAATCAACCCAATGAAATGATCTATAATTATAGACAATACTTGTTTTGCCTCATAAAATAGTTATATGTCATTTATAGTGATCCAATATCTTAGGTTGTTTGCCCTTAAGAATTAGTGGAGAATGTCAATACTATGAGAAAGCTGAATTTTGTGTGAAAGTTAACATTTTTCAACAGATGCAATGCTTACATGCCATGTATATTTACTTAAAAACTTCATTCACTAATGTTACACATCTGGACTGGATTCAATATTTCGCCATCTTTATCTATACTGAATTTTTGTATATTTGAAATGTTTCAGCTATTGCAATATTGTCTGACCCTTGCCTGACCGGTTGTTAGTCTTTAATATTTTATGATCAGCAGCACCATTATCAAAACTCTATGCTGAAATTCAATAACTAAGGAAAGCTTAATTGTGTATATAGAGAAAATTCCGATAATTATCCCTGACATTACAGCATCATTACTTGTTTCATTCTGTCCTCTGTATCTCGACTTCCTTAACATTTACACATATAAAAGACAACATATCTCCGACATCATCAGGAAGGTAATGTTATCACTCTGACTCCAGCAAAATAAAAACTTAACCGATAAGATGGCACCAACAACAAGAATCAGTGGAAAAGTAAGAAAAATAAATTATTATTGAAGGTGGATATAAATTTCTCTGGTTTCATCAATGTTGTGATTTGTGATAATTCTCAGTATGATGGCAGTCTCTTTCATGTCTCTGCATTCCATCTCTCACTTAATTGTGAACAATGTCTGTCATTCATCCCCTTCCTTTCTCAATGTGAACAATTTCTGTCATTTATTTATTTATACCCAAGCAATATTCTAAGTACTAGTACCTCATGAACTTACTGATAAATAACAAACATCATTAAGATTTCATGAATATGTGCCACATACCTGAACAAAGTGCATTTTTATGCTTCAATAATTATTGAATTACTTAATTTGCACTGAATTATCTCCCCTTTTTCATCACTTGTTCCTACTTTACTGTCCATTAAAACCAAACCATGTACTACTTTGACCCTGGAATGCTATAAGAATTTCATGGATATGCCAATCAACAAAGCACATCTTTATGATTAAATATATTGAATTGCCTAATTGGCTCTGGAATTATCTCCCCTTGTCTGTATTTACTGTCCATTAAACCAAACCATCTCCTCCTAGCTACAATTTTACTGAACATGAGACAGACAAGATCTTTTAAAATACTGAGAACATTATGTGTTGTAAATGGAAAACAAAATTTCACTTGATATATCATTCTCCCTTGATTCAGGGGAAGAAAACCTCTGAACTTGATAATTTTAAAAATGATGTTTATAAGAAAGCACTCAAACTAAAAAAGATCTTTCAACTGGTTCAACAAGAAAACCCTTAAATCTACAACTTTAGAACTCCACTGAATGGCAGTGTTTGATATATAATAATATATATATAAACTGCCACAGGGCTTTGACTGCATTGGTCAATTTACTGCAAGGAGACATACTGCATTCATGGATTTCATAAGAGACAGAGTAAAATCAATATATGATATCATACACATATCTCATTACCTTAAACCGATAATTAAATCCTGTTCAATGTTGTATAATCACAAAAGAATTTCTGTTCTGCAGCTTTTCAATGACTAGTAACAATTTCTTCTGGGATCAGCATATCTAAGTCTACAATGATAAGAAAAAAAGTTGAGATATTATTAAAATAAACAATACAAGAACATGAAACAAACATTGTGATGAAATGGTGAATTCTGGCCAGATTGTTCATGTTCCCTGAGAAATAATTGTTCCCATCAGAAACTCCCTTAATTCTGGAGCTTCTCTTGACAGATTCAGTCTACAAACAAAGACACATATAGTCACATCATCATTCAATTCTAGCGTTTTATCACTAATCATGTTAAAGCCTTCCACGATGCCGCTCTAACAAGACATTATTATTGATTCCCTTAAAAGAGAGGAAACGAGAAGAAATTAGGAACATTACTCCATTACTGCTTTATAAATCCCTCAAATTCTTTTCTTCGATGTTGAGAATTCATTAGGAAAGTCCTTAAATCCTGAAATTCTCTGGAAAAAGTTAACTTTTCTATGTGTCATGCGTAAGTTAATAATCACGACTGTTAGAATTTTTTCTCGTTTGCCTCTAGCTCTCCATACACAAATCAATAAACTTGGTATTCTTTTGTTTCCGACTGATGTTGTTTTTGCAGCAAATACAAGGGATTCAGAAACGGTGAATAGATTTATAATGGAAGTTAATTGATACCCTATATTACCTTCAAATCAAGCCCCTGGCAAGAAATCAATGAAAGAACTTAGTTACTGAAGACGGTTTATTCCCGTTTTGTGTCAACACCATTCTGTGTTTTAAGCTTTTGGTATGCTCACTGTATCAACTATATGTCAAAGTTATGGAACAAAGTTATTTCAAAGCAAATCCAACATCTAAAACTGCGACAAGTACTAGTAAAAAATATCCTCTCAACAGGAAGTCTTAGGGGATCTAACCATAATAATAAGCCTATTCAAATTATTTAAATTAATTTCATTTCAATGTGCTACTAATTAAAAATTCAGAAAGATGAACTGCTTAATAATTTATAACAGATTAAAATTTATTGCACCGTATCTCCTTTCTAAATGTACTAGGAGTTAAAAAAATACTGGAATACAAAATATTTTCATTCCATGTTTTTCTGTAAAGGTCTGAATCTTTATAAATATTTTATCTAATACATATTGACATTCTGGAGTAAATAAAACACCAAGCTCTCTGATTCTGTAAGCTTTTTAAAAGTCTATAACATTATATAATGTGTAAGTTTGGTGAATGTTATCTGTGACATCTTTTCATTACATCTATCAATGAGACAATCTGACATCAAGAAAAGATCTGTAGTATTGGGGTTGGAAGAGAAAATTTCAACAAAAAGAAACATTAAATCCAAACAAATACTCTTTAAATGATCCCATTTTTAGAACTGGTGTACATCTGTCCATATCTATCACTTCTACAATTCAACTGACTTTCAAGATTTTTCCCCAACTTTGATATTTTTGAAAACCAGCTTTTATTAAATCCACGAGTTTTGTGACCTTTTTTAATTGCAAATACTTCTCTTCACAACCATTTAATCTGGATGCTTGAGTCCCCAAGCAAATCATCAACATCAATGAAGCATCTTGATTCTCAAAACAGACACTTTATAATTTGTAGATATGTTAATTCTGTTCCCCTAAAATTTTGTCTTAAAGGAGAGGTGTCCAGATTACTGGTTTCCGGATTAACAAGGCTCCACTGTACATGTACAAACCAATTCTCTATCAAATCATAATCTTGAATGTTCTCATTTCCAGCCAAACAATGAATTTTACGCACCTGTTCTTTTAAATATTATCCACAATAGAAAGGTTTAAGGTTCACTGACCCCCCTAATAAGAGAGGTAACTCTCAATATGACAAATGATTCTTACTTTTTGTAACAGAGTGAACAAAGGGATGAAGAACCTAAAAAAACAAAAAACCAAGTATTTTGTGGAAGAGTCTTCACACTTCAGAAGAGATGGAACTTCGTTAGCCTTAAAAAGCAACAAAATCCAACCTTTGGTATTGATTTGGCTTGACTTTTCCCACCATGCTCAACATCTTGGCCAAGAAATTTCAATAACCCCCTACACTTTAAATCATTTCATGATCTGTCTCTACCTTTTCGCAATAATGTTAACAAACATTTGCGCAGCTAATACCAAAATACCTGATTTTCAAAATCTCTGTCAATATTATGGAGTTGATAACATCTTTATCCCTCTTCAGAATGAAGTGTCAATGACATGCAATCACCGATTCATAACCCATTTCACACATATTTCAGTTGCTGTAATAAGATCTTCATGTATTGATTACACAGAGAGAAAATTAAAATATTTTCCCCGAGTTATTGCATCTGTCGTTATGAAAGACATGACAATTTTTCTGACCAAATAAAAGCACTGATTAATTAATAAAATGTATTTTTACATCCCTAGTATAATTTTTCATTCACATCAAGACCAGCTGTAAGTGAGGTGCTAAAGTTAGACATGTGTCTATGGATTTAGGCCAATCAATAAGGGATCTTTGCCTACTACAAAACTTGGATGTAGGATTTCATTCCAAATTTTTGACCCATGAATCTCAGTTGCAAAATCCAAGCACATATGCTGGATCCCCTCCCCCTTTTACATTAAAGTTTTAATTGGTAACTCTTGGCAGGATTTAAACTCAGATATGATAAGAAAATTTGCTTTGATACAGCTAGAGCTGAAACAACAAACAGTTTGTCCAGGAATAATGATGTTCTCTTGAAGGTTTTGGCCCTACCCCACCACAGGAGTGCAGGGACCATGAGATTAATTTTGTTGTCTTTCTTCCCATAAAGAAGCTACATATCAATTTTGGTTCAATTCAGTCAATTAGTTTCAGGAAACTAATCAGGAAACTAATAATCCCAGGGAAAAAAAGCTGGAAAATTGGTGCATGTCAGATGCAACAACACCAATGGACACAAACACCAAAAGGTCATCTGTGTGATTCAGATGATCTTAAAAAGGTTCAAGAGAGACAAAAAGAGAGAGAATAACTGACAATTAGAAAGAAAACAAGGGCACTGCAAAGTGGAGTATCCTCTTGCAAAAGGGCACATCAATCCCGATATAAATTATTTCATATGTAACTTATGTTACACCTGCACTCACTCACTCACCCACACACAAGTGCATTACTATATCCCCTCCAACTTCACTGTGAGGGGATAAAAAATGTATGCAAACATGAAATAGGACAGAAATGATACAGGTGCCAAAAAGTACTCCTCAATCCAAATTGTAAGATATTAATGACAGAGAAATCCTTTATACTCCATGTCAAGCAGCTTATAGAGCATTATCAAAGGTGCTTTTAGAATTATCATCAAAATTAGATAAAATTTCCTGGTCCACAGAACCTTCAATTGCTACATACCAACTAGAGCAATCAGTCTCATCCAGATTGTGTGACCAAAAGATCCAGGTTCCAGCACCCGGTGTTTGCTAATGGTTACGGCTTTCAAAAAGAGCACTGGATTAAACTAATAAATGTTTGGTAAGATTTGTGTTCCAACAATTATAATAATGGACACCAATAAAAAGGCCTGGGTAAACATTATTGACTGCTCGAGTCTGGAGAGGGTCTCTCATTTGCAGGACTTTGATGCTTTTTAGATATTGGTTTTTTGATCAATTTTTCATGTCCCTGGAATCGACTGATCTTACATTCTAGTTTATTCTACCTTGATGAGATTGATTGCTAATTAACAATCAATGGCTGCACCAGGTGACATGGTTTACCTCAATGTTCAGAACTTTTAATTCCATTTTATTGATGAATGACAAATATTTAGATGAAAAGGTCTTTTGAAGGTTTGGTTTCATTTGATTTCTGTATTTGCTGGCCTCTTAATTTCTGTGTCTACATGCAGTTTTAATTTGACTTTTCTATATGTGGGTACTTTGAATAAAAGGTTCTTTGACAATCTGCTTGCAAACTCAGCAATTAACAGATCCGGATACAGTTAAATTAATTCTAAATTCAAAATTGGGGTCAAAAAGCATTTTTTTTTTTAAATATGAAAAAAAGAGACATTAGTATTTCTTGAAAGTTTTTTGTAATAAAAAAAATTCCTTTTGTGAATGTGAAACAAAAAGTAAACTGGTGACCTGAAATTTTGATCTTTCACCATACTCACTTGATGTAAGAGATTCAATGAATCACCCTACCTTTTATGTTCTATATAAATTCAAATATGCTCATTTCAAAGACATGTTAGAACACTTTAATAATCTTACTGACATTTATGCATTTATTCCTCATTATATTCTGAATGTCATCTGGCAATAAAAGAATATTACATTGCACAATTAAGTACCACCTTTATCATGAGATAAAACTGAGCAAATTTTCTCTTCAGCCTGCCATGAATCATTTGATAGACCATCATAGCACAATAGTATTACTATCAGTATCATATTGGCAAACAAGCATATGCTTTTTAATTTTCTAAAAGAGTCATAAATCAAAGTTTATAGTGACAGATCTGCCAATACCAAAAAACAACGACAATATACAGGAAGTAATACTTGGTAAAACCGTAATACCGGCAAATTAACTTAATCACCGTCAGATAATGCTTTCAACATTTATTTGGAATTTTTTAGGCATAAGAATGGTAAGAAAAATATCTTAGAATCTCCATCAAATGTTAAAATTTTACCTCGTTAGTTAGTTCATCGTTGTAATGTAACAAATAATTCCATGATATAATAGGAAAGCTTATTACCAAGACTATGACCTACATATCAAGGGGGGGAAAACTGCAATAAGCAATTTTGAGATATTATATTCTGCTGCATCCAAAAATTTCAACATTAAATTCATCAAGATATGGAATTTTCTGCATAATTACATCCTGTGATGAAATAGACAATGATGGATATGTGTTTTAGAAGGCAATGGAGAATATGATACAAAATAATCAGAGAAATGGATGGTTTTTAGTCCAAAAAATGAATGTCTCCTTAATCCCCAATCAATCTTCCATTTAATGACCTTGACTTTGAGAATGATACCATGTCAAGGTTCATGAGGAGGATATACTTAAAGTTGAAATTAATTCCATTCAAATTATGACTCTGAAAAATTTTATTAAGACAGCTAGATATCAGTGCCAAAAACAAGCCATATCATAATGAATTAATGTTCATTTTTTACATTTTCAGAAATCTTTTGCTTATTCCCTATTTAGGAAAGAGACATTACCCTGGCCTGTAAAACTCCTGATCATTAAATTTACTGAAACATGTCAATGATTTGTTACCAAATGCATCTAAAATGGCCAACTTTTATTTGTGTGAAAGAAATATCCACAAGTTTTGCAACCTTCTTTTACTTTCAAACATTTCACTTTTATTACGAATATTTCTTGCCAAGAACTAATTATTACATAGTGGGTTTTTGCTGAATGTTTCCTCTGCAGTTGCGAAAAATTAGCAGTCCCTGATGGATTTCAAACTAACAAAATGGGAATGAAAGATGACACAAATAATAGTTGGTTTACAGTAACTTGGGTATTTTGTTTTCAGAGATTTACAATTTTCTGAAACATTAATTAGATGTAAGCTTCATATTAATATATGAAAAAAAAAAAAAAGAATATCACAATATTAACCATTTTAAGAGTATCTCTCTGTGCATATAAAGCTACTTCCATATGAAGATCAAACATAACATAAGTGTGTGATGATTTTTCTTTTTCTTTTTTTTTTAATTTCATGGAAAAATGAAAATTGTACAAGGGAAATAACTATTCTCTTTAGAGAAGTGGACAGGCTTTCGCCTACATCCTAATCAAAAATAAAGCAGAAAAAAAAATTTAAAAGGAGACAACTCTTTTCATTTTCCTGCTGGGGATAAGATAATTCTGACCAAATTGTTTTATAAAATTAAGAAAAGCTTTCCTTAGGCATTCATATCTTGAAAGACCATCAGTTAACTATCTTCATTATTTCATTGTTAGCCAAAGGTCTAAAAATTTATAAAATCTTCAACCCCAGAAAGTCTGAAATATCTAAAGCAGGATCAGGGCTTATTCAAGGACAAAGATTAACTTCTAATGTTCCTGTGTTTATGTGGCCATTCAGTATTGTTGCAACCAGTAAGATAACTGAGTCGGAATTGAGAGGTAATTGTAGCCAGGCTAAAATGTTTGCCCATAAAGTGTCATTTTTATCCCCCTGTGTATAGAACAATTCTGAAACAAATCAATAAAATGCTTTTCTTTTAGTATGCGCATGATCTATGTATTGTGATCCCTACAGTTTTCAATTATGCCTTCTCCATAGCTAATATGATTCAACATGCTAATGCCATTTACATAGAAAACAACATGTTCTTCCTTCACAGCTCATTGGAAACTTGTCTCCAAGCTGCCTGTTGGGGCTTCCACTTCTCTAGATTCTGTTGAGAGTCAAAACCAGATTAAACCATTGGAGCAAGAGTTCACACCAAATATCTCAAATAGAGTTTTCATGTTATAAAATCTCAAACATTCCTGCTTACAGCTTCAAAAGATTCTCTGCTGAGAGATCAGGCATTTTTCATTGTCACTTTGTCAGCAAGTGAAGAAAAATTAAGTGTTTTTTGATATTGTAATAACAGAAAAATCATACACCAGTAAAATAAACTATCTATCAATCCATAAAGAAAATACCTAATGCCATTTGATTATGGAAATGGTTCAAAATTTTCTGAAGCCATGCCTTAGGTGAAGACAGCAAGCTAGTCTATCTCTACGAATTTCAAAAATATTCTGTCTTATAACAGTTCTAGGTACTGCTGATCTGCCAATCACTAAATTTTTCACAACACTTTATTTCAAGAGATAGTTATTTAGTATAAATTATAAGTGAGACAAAAATTTAACTTATTTTAGTTTTTGTTTTAAAAAACCTTTAGTTAATACAAATTTACATGCGAGTCTTACGTTCAAAAATAAAGTTCTCGCAAATAAAAGGTGATTTACAGTATTTTCACTACCTCAGTTTTCACAATTAATTAATACAAGTTAAAGCATCTGCTCTAGTCGCGGAGTAAGGAGTTGATCCTTACATCCCGGGTTTCAATCTCAATGTGGGTCGTGGAGACCGGTCCTTCAGATGAGACCATATAAACCAAGGTCCCGTGTCGCAGTAGGTGCTAGCACGAAAAAGATCCCTCACTGCTCAATGGCCCTGAGTGCTGAGTATAGGTCAAAATTTGCAGCTCTCCACCAGCAAGTGGTGGCAACTCCATATGAGTGAAAAATTCTCGAGAGGGACGTTAAACAACAACAAAAAAACAAACACAACAAATACCAATATATTTGTCAAAGGTTACGTACATCTGTTTTTCTATTGTTCAATCTATACTTGATGTTGGGAGAGGATGCAGTACTGCATACCTTACTGCCTAGCATTACCAAATGTCACAAGGTTTCAATTTCGCCTAATATTATGAAGTTTGAAGAGTCATTTCATGCAGTCAAGACTTGAACTTTATCCTTAGCATTTGAAAAGTGCCACTTAGTGGCAAATTATCGTCCAATTATTTCCTAGTCGGGATGTATGCTGAAACGTTAGATAATTGTTTAGAAATGGAAAGGAAATAGTTACATGTAACTGTTCAGTGTTATAATAAATACACAGAATCCTTGAAATACAAATTCTTTATGCAGTACTTAATTGCCATATACCATCAAAAAACTTTAGGAAACAAAATACATTAATAATTAATGTCTTTTTTCCATTATCATGGATATTATTGACGTAATTTGATTAAATTCATAAAGAATACACCGTAACTACAATTTTCTGTCACTTGCTGCAATATAGGCAGAACCATTTAATTAACATCAGTTCATAAGTTATGTTGACGAGGAACCCAAAACATTTTCTGGCAGTGTTCGAGTAATGTAAAACAGATACAAGTTTTTGACATTATATAGAATTATCTTGACTAGAGATTCCACTCTGTATAATCTGCATTATATTACAATACATTGGTAAGTAGTTTGCGTAGCATAATTTGTTAATTGAATGTTTGTTTTTGCATAACATGCACCACGCCAAAATAAGCTAAAGGATCATTACTTCTAAATTACCTAGAAAAAAAATATATACATCGCTAACACGCACAAAAAAATCCCAATCACAACTCTTCGAACCTCAGTTCCAAAGATGAAACACAGCACAGGCTCCGGACCAGATAACTTGTGAAGCTAAACACAATCCCTCAAAAAAATGTTAAATGAAAAGATCAAGGACCACACATCCTTACCAATGAGGCTTCAGAAACCTATGGAATTACAAACGCAGACAAAACATAAAAGAGATTTTCCTCATGAAGGCATTATGATAATTTAGGATGACAATGAAATTCAAAGCAGATGGTCATGAAAATTAAATTGTGTCATTGAGTTTGGCGACAGTCATATATTGTCTCACAATATCAATTTTTTTCCCCTTTCCATCTTGAAACACTTCATATTGTTTAAACATTACTTTGATCACATGAATAATTCTATAAGATCAGACTTCAAAAGTTGAATTACTGTGGGGAAAAAAATCACTAATTACCCAGTTAACCTATTAAACAATAGTTCCTTTCCATGTATTGCCTAATTAATGGTTTATCCTCTACACCTACAGCATTGCATTACTGGTCTTTACCAGAATTATGGCACATTCCGATGCCTACCTATTTCAGTCATAAATGTGAATAATTGATTCATTTCTTCATTGAGCTGATTCATGTTCAATGATAATGGTAGATTACTTCAGAATCTAGTTCATTTTTACTGGAATTAACCAAATGCTTCATTTGGAAACAATTACATTATATATTCACAAAAAAGATTATGTATATCTACTATCTATATACCGGTAGACAACCCAGGATTTTTTTATTGAAGTATTCTTAAATAAACCTATTCTCTTTATTTATCTGATGTCTTGTGAAAGCCTTACTAAAATGTTGTCCAGGTGGATACAAAATAAAGTAGAAATGACCACTCCCTCCACTTCATCTATCTGTTATAGTAGTGCAAGGCACAGTAGAATCATTACAAACCTTTCTAAAGTCCAAAATGATGAAAAAAAGGATCATTTTGTTTAAAAAAAAAAAAATCAGATGTACAATAGTATGTGCACATGCCAATTTGAAAGTAAATTCTTTCACTTCAAAATATAAATTACATTTTTAAATATGTATGTATAGTAATTAAGTTACTGAAAAATGTAGAATGAACAAATTCCTTAGAAAAAAAACTGTTCTGAAAGTTATACAAAGGTATATTTGTTTGAGCCTAAGATGGAAAAGTAAGACTGTAGCAGCAATTTTAGGCTTTTCAGGGAAACTCAATCTACTTCAATGAAAAAACGGTCAGAAAAATCAATATTTAGTATGATGACTCACAGTTAGCAAGTTGTGAATAAGATGCATGGACACTTTTTTAAAAATAATTATTAAAAATGATAAAAAGAATTTCATTATTCAGAAAGTAATCAAAGCAAGATATAATTGCAATTAACTCATTAAATCTCTGCAACCAAAAAATTAACACGATAAAGGAAATGTCAGAGAGATTTGTTATTCTACTCGTTAAATTGTGCAGTTCCATATAATATAGATTTCATTTCATTGATTTCACATCATAAGAGCAGAGCTTTTTAAAAAAAATTCCTAAGCCACAATTCTATCGACTTAAGTTTTTTCCTTTTCTAAATTAAATATATATTATGTAAACATCAAGATTACAATTGCAAACTCAATTCTTGAAAGTTTTCATTAAAAAAGAGGAAAAAGATTATTAAACCAAATGAATTTCAAAATACAATCAAAATGTACACTATATTGATCATAACAAATATCATCTACAGACACTCATCACAAAATCTAGATTCAATTCAAACTAAAATTTATACATTTATAATTTATAATGTAGTATGTTAAAAACTCAAACTTACCAAATGTTCAAAATCTGGCAGAAAATGTTCCAAACTTTAGAGTAAAACCAGACAAAAGAGGGGGAAAAATCAATAGATACTCCTCTGCTAAATAGTGTCCAATTTTTACCATGTAATACAGCTATAAGCATATATATGCAATGGTAAAGAAAAATCAATCAGCAAGCAATGAAATTTTCATAGATTTTCTTTTTTATCTTGAGAAAAAAAAATCCTTCACAGTTTACATATATTTTGCCACCGACTCAAGTACGAGACACTTAAGGCTGCACTCAGAAAAACAATCACAAACAAATTATCCTTAATGATGCTCATGAAAGCAAACAGTCAGGTTTTTACCAAGAATTGCATTGTTTATAAAAACTTGCACAACATATAGCAAAAGTCCTGTTTCACAAGTAAAATTGAAAAATTGGAATATGTCTGTCACTAAGATGAAAATCCAACTGGCTTTAGTGAGATCTGATAGGCTGACTAAGGATTAGCCATATAGTGATGCCCAGCAAAGCTTATTTGAATTGCAGATATCCATGGAGTCAATATTTGCCATCTTTGATCAATACACCATCACCAGCATTCTTTTGACACATGCAAGTGAAGAAGAAAAAAGTTGCAAAAGAAGAATATATTCCCCCCTTTAACTTTTACTGCCTATCTATAACTCCCTCTCTTGTAACACCAGTGCTCGAGGCGTACCTGGCCAACCTATGTCATTTTTTCCAATAACTACAAGACAAAGGAATTTTAACCCAAACCTTCTGTTTTGTGCTGGAAAACCTCAGGCTGCCACTGACTATTGTGAAGCAATATCTGTCTTTGGTGTAATTAGTGAGTCTATAGGAAATCAATTTCCCAGAACGTAAAAGACTGAGTTTTTCTTTATTTAACAGCAGTTCCACTGCTGGGATATTTCCCTATTATGCATGCATGTAGAGTGGGAAGTTTTGCCAGGCAAATTATCAACATAAATGTTCAATATGAGTTATGTGTGACTGTACACAACACACAAGTAATTACAGCAAAATTGAAAGAAGATGGACTGTGTTTCAGAAGCTGACATGCCTTAGCTAACTTCCTCCTCTTTAAATTGGATAGTTACAGGGAATCTGCTGTCATAAAAATGCCATCTCCATACCTTTCTCATAGAGGTTTTAGTGGTTCAATCCATTTTCAGGTAGATAGTAGAGCCTCATTATATCTAGTCCTATCTTATAATTATAACTGTATGTCCTTCATATGTTCAGTGACCTTAAGCACAATCTCAAATGAACTGTTTTCGCATAACCAACCTTTTTGCAAGGTAGTGCAAGTTTATAAATTTACAACCTCTCTCTTTCTTTCTTTCTAAAAAAAACAAAAACATAAGAAAAATGGAAAAGTTCAATTATCAAGGGGAGAATAAGTGCAGGAGTTTCCAGAAATATTTAAGGCTTTCATGTTTCAATCCAAGAGCCTTTTTTTTTTTTAAAATTCATATAACACAAAATATAGAATGATAGTAATTTATCATTGGGCACAGAATTTAATTGATAGCATCATCATTTAATGACCATCAGAAGGTTAAAAACCACACATAAATAAACAATATTCCTCTCATAAAAGAAAAACTGATACCATCAAATTTCTTGACATTAGAATTCACTGAATAAACTATCTGGATTGTGAGCAAAGTGCTTGACTTTCAAGAAGTTCACAAAAGAAGTATAAGTTTTTGGTGTTGTTTATTATGACAACTTCTTATCTGTGGAGTAGAGGGCCAGCGTAGCTGTCAGCACCAATCTCAGGCTCCGTCATGTTCTATCTGACAAGAGTTCCCCCCAATACCCACATGTAAACATGATCTACAATAAAGGTATTTGTGTAAAGCCCCAGCTATAAATATCAAACTCTCTTTTTCTACCACTGCAAAGCCTCTAAGGAAGAAGTTTAACTTGTCTAGTCGTCTAAAAAATAAATAGCATAAACATACAGACTCAACTGTATCAATTTTCTTCCCCAAATTTCTTTTATGCGGCTTACTCCAGCTAATAGTCAACAAATAACTGCGATCTCATCGTGAACCTTAAATACCACTAACTAGTAATTAAAAATAATGAAGATGTTTCTTTTTTAATTAAGTAACTCAGTATCAGACACACATGTGATCCATTGCAGATGTTTTTCAACACCACACAGCTAAATTTCTGATTATTAATTAACGAGAAGATTCTCCATGACATCACTCTTCAAAATCAGACAACCATGAATGACCATGTGCAAAGTATTAATGACATTAAATCTATAGTCTAGAAGATTTAATTACACCAAACTACAGACTGTATAAAGAATATTCAATATCCAATCTACATTTAAACTACATGTACAAACATTTAACAATATTCTACAGACTAATGAATATGGGGGGGGGGGGGGATTCTTTTTCAGTCATAAATATATGAATGAAGAAAATAAGTTACGTAGATCAGGGAATTGATGACCCCTGCTTAACAAAAGAATAAGTGGTGGATGGAAGTGGTGAAACTGAGAGAGGGAGAAAAGAATTGGCCTTGACCTATTACTTTTTGGCCTCAAAATCAAGAGGGTTCTTCCTGAAGATAGAGACACTCATCACTCTACTGCAAAAGCTCACCAGTCCTACATCTACAGTTATCATTTTAAAAAACCATTTTACTCAATATATGAATTTATGACCTTGGCCTTTGACTTCAAAAAGGAGTTTACGCAGAAATATGACACAGAATCATTGTAAAAGCTTAAAGAGAACTGACATTATAAATTTCTGAAATTGCAGATCTTTGACTTTTGACTTCAAAATTAGTAGGGGCCTTCTTTAAGTCATACTAAGTTGTGATATAAAATTTCATTGCAAAAGCTCAAAGAGAACAAGTTTTTATTTAGTAACTATTTCATTTTAGAACTTAATCAGCTTTAACAGACATCATCATTGTTACAGAGAGACTGATGGACAGACCCAAATTAATATCCCACAGCTTTCAGCAAAAGTGGGGAACAAAAAGTGGTTTCATACAAAGAAAGAATTTCTCTAAGACCATTTCATCACAGAGTTAGAAGAACAATAGCAGTCAATTCTAACTTAATGAAAACCAATTTCTTTGTTAAATAGGTTTTTTTTCTTTCCCAAACAAGCTACATACTTTGACATCTCTGGCTAAAACTGTGATAAACCATCCAAATAATAAACTAGTACAATTAAACCATCAAAATGTCGGAACCCTCTTGGAGAACTAGCCAAAACATAACTCCTAGAACAATAATGTTCTTGAGAAAGCCGAGTACACCCTGTTGATAATGAACACTTTCCTATTATTTTCTGCATGTTCTTTGGATGTGAATCTTTCACCACTTCTGGTTGCTAATAAATCACTATCTTACTTGCTAACAGCTACTGCTATGGGCTGAAGTAAGACTGCGGAAAGACGGGTGTTGTGTTAATTCCCAATTTAAAATTAGAACAGTTTGTTTAAAAATTTTACATAGTAAAAATGTCTAAAATTGTAAACATACACCAGTTAAGTAGGCAGTGATGATGTCATTATAAACTTAATTAACAAAAGAAATAAAATTGATGGAGAAAATCTAACATACATTCTTTTTTATTTGCTTCTTAATAAAATCTAATGCACACATGTTCAACATACCGGTAAGTAAAAAGTATTTTAATAAGAGCACTGGATTAGCTTTGACTAACAATACATTTGTATGTTCCATATAATACAGCAGTATTCCAATAACAGTACAGTACTTCCTGTTACTCTAATATAAGTATAATGTTAGGTCGACATGTAACCCTGCCAAACCAAATACATAAGGAGTATGTATTGGTATGTGGTAAGAAAACAATGGCCAAACCTGAAGAATTACATTGTTCCTTATTCAAATGGAAAATCTCTTATGACCTTTTCCTGATTCTTAATATATAGCTGTATTTGAGAATGCAAATTTTCTTCAGTTGAAATTCTAAGAATATTCTCATTGCATAAGCTTATGACAATGCAGTGGGTGTTCTTTGAGGCAATTAAACACCTATCATGACATCAGATTGTTTCATTCCAAAGGTCTGTGATTATGAACATTTCATTCCTTGCAGATGGAATGAATATGATATACATTTTGAACATTTTTGCTTCTATAACCTTGGGGTTATAAACCATTCCTTCACCTAATTAGCAAATTCTGTTAAATTCTGTTTAATATGAGCAAAGAATGGATTATTTTCTAATTTATAGTTTGCAAACAACTAGTCCAGTGTTGTTCATTTGATAAATATCCAATCCAATTATACTGAATAAATTTAATAAAATAAACTGGCATTTTATATGGTTCTGAATTACAGTTTCCAAATGTCATACAACAACCCCTCCCCAAACCAAAACTAAGACCTCCACAGTAGTACAACTTCCCTGGTTCCTATTATCCTGAAATAAAATGGCCCAGCAAGACAGACACGAGCCATTTACTCATACAGGTGCATTCAATTACTTTTTTTCTGCATTTTACTTACCCAGTGCCAGTTCCTGTAGACATTGTTTGACAGGCAAGAAAATGTATGCTTTTGTAAATTTGTTAAAATATCGTATACCAGAAGTCAAACAAGACGGAGTGTTTAATCAAGACACTGGATCGGCTCAGCTCTGATAGCCAAAGTTTTGATCTTGCTTCTTATATGAAAAATAACTTGTGAGAGCTGATAATATGAACTAATTTGTAATCTATCTTAAAGCCACATCAAATCTATTTTGACAAGATCAAACTTCCTCAGGGGTGAAGAGATAATGAAACTATATGTACTGGTGAGTTAGAGCAAAAAAAATTTCCATGTGTATTTATTCAGAATACTAAAAAAAATTTCAATTCATTGACTGAAAACAAAAAAAGATGTTTTTTTTTTCCTTTTCAGTGGACTGACCTTATAGTTGTTAACCTCTGAATTCCTAGGTCATGACATTCCTCCCCCCCCCCCCCCCCTTCAAATTTTTTTTTACATTTTTCATTTTTCAACTCCTATTATCTTATGTATAATATTTTTTAATATAAAAAAATGAAAAATAAGGAAGGCAAATTACTTTCAATGTAAATCAGTATTTAATTCTTAATTTCATATATTCTACTACAAGTATTGAGACACAAGAAAAACCCATTTATAAATAAACAAATTTTCAATAAATTAAAGGGGAAAAAATATTTACAATTTCACTCACTTGTTTGTGTTAAAAAAAAAAAATGAACTGACTTGAATTTACTAGTGTTCCCAAATCTAAAGTCACCGTTAACTT